GCACCATCATCATCATCATCATCATCATCATCAGCATCATCATCATCATCAGCAGCATCATCAGCAGCATCATCTTCTTCATCATCATCATCATCCTCCTCATCATAATCAGCATCATAATCATCATCATCAGCAGCATCATCATCATCAGCGCCACCATCAGAATCAGCATCACCAGCAGCAGCAGCATCCTCAGCATCATGATCGTCATCATCAGCATCAGCATCATCAGCATCAGCATCATCAGCATCATCGTCATCATTAGCAGCATCATTATCAGCAGCAGCATCAGCATCATCATCATCATCATCATCATCATCATCAGCATCATCATCATCATCATCATCATCATCATCATCATCATCATCATCATCATCATCATCATCTCTATCATCACCATCACCACCACCAGTACCATCATCAGTATCATCAGCCGCATCTTGATCATCAGATTCATGCTCAGCATCCTCATCATCCGCATCATGTTGAGCCGCATCATCCTCTTCCTCAATGCCATTTCCTTATGGGCAACTTCCCCCCGTCGCACCACGAGGCCATTTGTAGGGCGGGCCCGGCGTATCGCCTGAGACGCCTTTACCATGTGTGACCCTGAAGCGGGAAGTGTGAACACAGGTGGACGCGGGTCGTCCTTCTCCTGAAGGAGGAGGAGGAGGACGAGAAGGAGGACGAGGAGGAGGAGGAGGAGGAAGAGGAGGAGGAGGAGGAGGAAGAGGAGGAAGAGGAGGATCGGCAAGAGATCGGCATGAGCAGTACGCAATCGTACTAAGGAGGAAGAGGAGGAGGAGGAAGAGGAGGAGGAGGAGGAGGAGAAGGCTGCCGCCGCCTCCTCCCGCCGCCGCCTGTGACCCTGAGACGCCTTGTAGTCGCCATGTGTTACCATGTGTGAAAACTGGCAACAGTTTCACAGATGGAAGGCGGGTCGTTTTCAATATGTGGCTATCGCCTCAGCGCCGCGCACATTCGTGCTGAACCGTTGAAAGAAATTCACTGATTGACGACGGGTCGCTCTCAAAATGTGGCTAGTGCAGAAGCGCCGCGCACATTCGTTTCAGAATGTTGCACGAGCTTCACGGATTGAGGGCGGGTCGTTTTCGAAATGTAGCTCTCGCCTTTGCGCCGTGCACGTTCTATCTGAAACTTTGCAAGGGTTTCACGGATTGAGGGCAGTTCGTTTTCAAAATGTGGCTCTCGCCTTAGCGCCGCGCACATGCGTTCTGAAAAGTTGCACGAGTTTCATGGACTCACACGACCCGCGTAGCATAAATGGTGTTGGGGAAGGATTCCAGATTATGAGGGTGCAGCAATTACGTTGATTCGCGGTGTTGAAATCCCAGGAATGGCGTTCTGGCACGATTCAGGATCGCAAAGACGCAAAAGTCAGGTTGACCCGCGGCGCTGGAATCCCGAGAACAATGTTTTGGCATGCTTCAGGGTCTTCAAAGGGTTGTCTTCCAACGAGGCAGTTCCCTCAGTGGAAATGAATCGTTGTAGGGGCCTGTGACGAGGGAGCTTGGAGGGAGGGTTTATTCCAACATCGCTGATGACTCTTGGGATTACACTGGTCTATCCTCGTCCTCATCATCATCATAATCATAATCATCGTCGTCGTCTGCATCATCATCAGCGGCAGCAGCAGCATCAGCATCAGCATCATCAGCAGTATCATCATGGACCTCATCATCCTCATCCTCATCATCATCATCACCACCACCATCACCAGCACCACCAGCATCATCATCACCACCAACACCTCCGTCATCATCAGCATCATCAACAAAACCATCATCACAGCACACACCCCTCCCGTGCCGACCAGCCAAAACTGGGGGAGCTGTGGTCCTTACCCCCCTGGGGGAACCCATCGCATCGACGATCTCTCGAGAGGGGTGTCGAAGTCGATGGGTCCCCCCCTGGCCTGCCGTGCTCTCCTCCCGCGGCTGGGTAGGGGGGAGGGCTTCTTAGAAGCAGGCTGCTTCTTAGAAGGCGCCGGCCTTACATCTATAGATGAGGCCCGCGCCTTCTAAGAAGCAGGGGTGCGTCTAAGAAGCCCTCCCCCCTCCCCCCGGCACCCTCTGCGCGTGGCTGACGTGCCCTCCTCCCGCGGAGCGGGGCCTCCTCGACCTTCAGCGCCTCGATCTGCTTCAGCACGAACCCGCGCTCCTCCGCGGCGGCCCAGGAGACGCCACGGCGCGCGGCAGGGGCCCGCGGGCATCCCCGCGCCGGGGCGGGCGAGATAGGTGCGCATCGTTGGCGGCGCGCACGAGGGCGTACAGGGCAGTTTTTGATACAAATCCCTGCATTTTTAGTACACGATCCGCACGCGGAGCATGTATTAAAAACGGCACTGAGGGGGAGGCAGGAAGGTTTCTTAGAAGGAGGCTGCTTCTCAGAAGGCGACGGCCATACATCTAGAGACAAGGCCCGCGCCTTCTAAGGAGCAGGGGAGCTTCTGAGAAGCCTTCCCCCCTCCCCCTGCTCCCCTTCTGCGCGTGGCCGACATAGCCAAGCCAGGTGCGCTGGCGCCGCATCTGACATTCGACAGGAATCGTACAGAGGGAGGGGGTGAGAGGATATGGAGGAGGAGGAGGAGGAAGAGGAGAAGGAGGAGGAGGAGGAGGAGAAGGAGGAGGAGGAGGAAGAGGAGGAGGAGGAGGCGGAACCCGTGATGGATAAGGTGAGGAGAGGAGGGGGGGAAGAGGACAAGCTGGGTGCGCTCGGGCCATATCTGACATCCTTCCCATCACAACCATTCCTTCCCATTGCGCTGATTATGTTCTCTATCCGCTGGCGCATGGCATGGCGGGCCTGGAATTCCAAGAAGGACATCATCGTGTGACGGGCAGTCGAAAAAAGGAGGCTGCATACTCTGGAGGAGGATGTGGCGGATGAGCAGGAGGGATTGCAAAGGACGGGGTAGCGAATCGGCTACAGTGGGATCTCCTGGCGCCTCCTGGCGATGGAGGCGGCCAAGGCGTCCCGAGGAAAGTCCCTGGCGACAGGGCAGAAACCAGCTGCATGCAGCAGATTCCGCACCCCCACCTTTTCCATCACCCCCGGTCAGTCCCACCCGAAGGGAGGAGGAGCGAGGGGTAGCGTGGGCAAACGAAAACAAAGACGGAGGGATGGGAAGGAGGCGGAGGTGGGAGGAGGAGGGAGGAGGAGGGAGGAGGGAGGGGGGGGGTGGAACGAAAGCAGAGCTGTTCCAGGAGCGGGGAGAACAGCCAGGAGGACAGCAGGAGCGACTGCCGAGCTGCTCGAAACACTGCTTTGGCGGGCCTGCGGCACGGCGTCCCCAGGCCGAAGCCCTGCCAGCAGACCCTGTCGATGATCCTCAGAACGTGTGTTACAGTCGGGGCGTTGACCTAAGGAACCCTGAATAAGGAACGAGGCCCCTAATTCTCCATAAGTTAAAACTTCGATCTCATATCGAAAACCTAAGGAAAATCTAAGGCAAGCTGCGAAACAATTAAGGAACACGGAGCCCATCCCCAATGAAAAGGGTTCCTTCTTCAGCGCCCCGACTGTAGCGCCAGCGCGTGTTGCCCACTGAGGTCCTTCACTACGACGAAGGCGATGTGACGATCGACTGCTTGGGTCGAACGGGGTAGACACACAGTGGGCTAGCACACGTCCTGAGGATCGTCGAATCTGGCGGCAGCCCTCGCAACGGATCCGGCAGGACCCGAGTCGCTGCTGGCAGCCCAGGAGGAGGAGGAGGAGGAGAAGAAGGAGAAGGAGGCACCCCGGCTTTGGCTGGGAGGGTTAGGGTCTGTCGAAGGTGGCACAGATGGACAAGCACCCATAGCTGTCAGGCTGTTGGGAAGGAGGAGGGGCTGGCACGGGGCGGGGCTTGCCCCAACTCCCCCCACTCCCCTGGAATTGAAGAGACCTCTGGCCCCACTTGGACCAACCAAACCCATCCTCACAGGTGCTCAAAGGGGGGGGGTCGAGCACCTGTGCGACGCGGCCCCTAGGTGCTCGAAGGGGGTGGCCCAGCATCTGTGCGAGACGGGAGCGGCTCTATGCGCCGCTACTTGAAATGTGGCCCACATGCCCCACTTGCCTCACTTGCCCATCACGCCCGCGCAGGCTCGAAGGTAAACGTCCTGGAATTGATGGGGCCACTTGGCCCCACTTGCCCCACTTGGGCAAGAGGGGCAAGTGGGAACAAGTGGGGCAAATGAGGCAAGTGGGGGCAAGCGGACCACATTTCAAATAGCGTAACGGAGCTGCATGTCCAATCCAACAGGGCATTGTCAAGCCCTCCAGCCTTCTGACAAGTTCTCCGTGTCTTCAGGAGAGGACCTGGGAAGGGTTGGAACACTTCTCGGAAGGCCTTCGGACTCCCGAGCCTTCTGAGAAGGCCCGCCCCCTTTCGCTTGCCCCCCTCCCCTGAGACCCTGGGCTGGCCGCCGAGGAGAGCGGGGGGGGAAGAGAGCGGCGTGGAGGGGGCGAGCGGAGTTAGGGGGGTGAAGATACCCTCCGCTCCCCTTGCTGCCACCGCGTGGCGGCGCCACCGCGCAGAACTAGAAGCAGCGGGCGCGGGCGACCGTCCTGGTCGCGGATGTCCTCCTCGCGCATCCTGTGCGCCTGCCTGTCCTTGATCTGCTCGATGATCACCTCTCGCGACAACGCCCGCGGAGCGGCAGGAGGAAGAGCGAGCGGTCGTCACGACCACATCGGCAGGTGGTCCAGACTTTTGGCATGACGCTCGGTCGTTCTGCGTCACAATCGTGAGGGCTTCCGCTTCGGCTCCAGTCAAGTCTCTGTGTGCACGCAGTCGCTCTGCAACGCTGTCCCTGCCATGTTCATGAGAAGCAGCCACTCGCGCAATCGACTACCCACGCGTCCGTCCGGACGCTGCGCTCAAAGGCGGCGGCGGTGGCGGTGGCGGTGGTGGCGGTGGCGGCGGTGGTGGTGGCGGTGGTGGTGGTGGTGGTGGCGGTGGTGCTGGTGGTGGTAGTGATGATGGTGCCCTTACTTTTTTGCTCGCGAGCTGGCTTCGGGCGCGTGATCGGTTGCTGACCGCACGATGGGTCTCGATGGTCCCCGCGGGGCCGCTCGGAGTGGCCCCGTGGGAGCGGTGGAGCAGAGCAGCGAGCGCACAGCCAGGCGCGCCACGACCGAAGGCCCCCCCGCACCCCGTGGCCGAGGCCTGCCGCGATCCGCCGATCCCCCGCTGCCGGGGCCTGCAGCATCTTACCAGCCTGGAATATATATATATATATATATATATATATATCCCTATCCCTATCCCTATGCTCGGCATCCTCTCACCACGATGCCAATATTAGGGATTCCCTTCTCTTTTGAGGGCGGATCCCCAAGATTGTCATCGCCTTCTGGCGTGTCAGCCTTAGGGATAGGGATAAGTTCGAGGCTGGTCAGCATCGGAAGCGCGCGGAGCTGCCCCTCACATGTCGAGCGCAGAGTGTGGCAAAATTGCGGGAGGCGGAGGAAGCCGGGGCACTGGCAGACTGGGAGGTCAAGCGGAGTGGTGTCCCACGCAGATCCAGGCGGAACCCCGCCCTCCATGGAAGGGCAAGTGACCGTGCAGGTGTCGCCGCGTCCGTCAGCTCCTGGAAGGCGGAGTGGTGCCTCACGCAGATAGAGGGACCTCGCCCTGGCCGGGGGGCTGGCATCTGCACTGCTGTGGCCACGTTCTCGGGGTCTTCAGAGGTCCAGCGGAGTGGTGCCCCACGCAGATCCGGGCGGGACCTCGCCCTCCCTGCTGGGGGGGGGAGTGCAAGCGTCGCCGTTTTCGTGAGCTCCTGGGAGGTCCAGCGGTGCCCAACGCAAATGCAGGCGGGACCTCGCCCTCCCCCAGAGGGCTGGCAACAGCGCTGCTGTCACCACCCTCGTGGGCACCTAGGAAATCCAGCGGAGTGGCGTCCCACGCAGAACCAGAAGAGTCCTTGCCCTCACCTGGGGCTGATAACTGGGCAACTGTCCCCAGTTTCAAGAGCTCCTGGGAAGTCCAGCGGATGGTCCAAAGGGGTGCGTCCGCTTGGCGTCCCCGCGCCAACTCCAGAGCACCTCACACGGTCGTCATTGGGAGCGGGGCGCGACGCGACAAAGCTGGGTCTGGACGTCCACACAGCGGCCGCCTGACCAGCATGCCCGCCGAATTGCCGCTCAATCTGCGCATCTGTCGCTACTTTCGGGCGTCCCGGGAAGTCCAGCCGCTCGTCTCCTTCCGCTCCCTCCTGTCTTCCTTACCCTCGATCACGTTATCCTGCCTTCCCTGCCCTCATCCAACGTGTTTCTCCCCATCTGCAGCTCGTGTTCCATGTCATGCCATTCCCTGCCCCCACGTCCCCGTCTCCCAAAGAGTTGTCTGCACCTTTCCGCGTCGTTCCCGTTCGTGGTCATCGTTGCCTTCCCGTCCGTGCTCCTTCCCATGCCACTTCTACGGCGCTGCCTCACTTCAGTCTCTCCCATGCGTGGTGCAGCGGGAGAGCATACCATCTAGCCTTCACAACAAATAGCAGTCATTGCCATGCCATTTTCTGTAACAAGTTGGCCCACCCGTCTGGTCACGTAAGGCAGATGGGTTGGGTGCGTCGACAGGGAAGTTTGTTGCTTTTACATCTACGAGTGGGCGGGCGACACCGACAAGCCCGTTCCTCGGGCAACCCTCGGCTGGGTCAAGGACGCCTTCGCACTCCCAAAACAGGGACCGCATCAAAGGGGAACGATTCCCAATTACATATCGAGATCTCCGACGTGGACCAGAGTATGTCTGATGGTCCCAGGCCCTGGGACTGACAAACAACAACTTTGGATTAAAAATCTACCCCAAACCAGCAAAGACCCCACATCGAAAACAACCAAAACGTCGGAGGTCTGGCAAGGTTTCCAGAACTGGACAACCAGTTTTGTTAGACAGCTGATGTCCGCCACTGGACGGCGAATGCAGTCCAAGATGGGCATGAAGTGCTGTCGGTCGTCGTCGCCGTTCGCTTCCTGCCCATCCCGAACGTCACGCGAGGCAAGTGGGCTATGAGGATACAGTGGAGGCCCACAAGAAACCTTCCACGAGAAACCCCACCCTGAGACCCCAGGGCGTCCATCGATGCCTGGTGTGGGAGCGTCGCGCCTTCCACGGCAGGACCGTCGAAACCCAGGAAACCCAGGGCACCCTGGAGGCAAGCAGGGGGTGTTTCTGGGCATGGGCCTCCACTGTAGCGACCCGCCCGAGCAGACTGGTGGGGGGCCGCATGCGAACCCTACCCCTACCCCCCCATCCCCCACAATTTCTAGGGGGGGGGTGGGGCTCACTTCCCTCGGGAGCTCCCGAGTGAAGGGAACCCCACCCTCCCCCTCAGAAATCGTGGGGGGTAGGGGTACTCTAGATTTCATAATAAAAGGGAGGGGGCCTGGACCCTCCAAGACAAGCCATTTCAGACCTCCCCCGTGGGAGGACCCTCCAAAACATCGTCCCCAGACCCCCCAGGCCCTCCAAGATAGCCTGGAAGAGACCCCCCCCGAAATGAGACCCCCTCCCTTGATTACGAAATCTGGAGTAGGGTTCGCATGTGGCCCCCTGACTGGGGAGGCCGGCGCGAGCCTTCGCGCCGTTGCGCTGCTGCTCCATGCGCTCCTTCTCCCGGACCTCGTAGGTCTTGAGGGCCTGCGCCGGGCAGAGCCGAGAGCGGAGCGCCAGGGCAGAGCAGGGGGCGAGGGGAGCAGGAGGGAAGGAGAACGAGGGGGGGGACGAGGGACGGAGGAAGACGAGGGAAAACGAGGGAAACGAAGGAAGGAAGGGAAACGAGGGAAAACGAGGGAGCAGGAAGGAAGGAAGGAAGGAAGGAAGGAAGGAAGGGAAACGAGGGAGCAGGAAGGAAAGAAAACGAGGGAAAACGGCCACGACTCGACTTCCAGCCAATATCAATCGGACCAATATCAACTTGAGCGAAATCGCAAATTCCTGGTCGCCTCTGAACATTTCCGGTCGTCTGGGAAGCAAGCGGAAATTCTTGTTGGGGGAAATATTAAGCTTCATACGACTTTCCACTCGTCGCCCCATGTGACGATTATTAAATCAAAGAGGATGAGGCATGGACCAGAAATCCGCGATGGCGGTCTCTGGAACATTGTACCGGGGCCCCGCGGCCTAACGGGGCCCGTCCACGCTGAGTTTCCGCGACCTCTGCGGTCCAGACTTTTTTATCGGGGGGGTTGTAGAGACAGAGCGAGACGACTGCAACAAGTCAGAGAGACTGGGACTCGAAGCCGACAGGAACATCTGCACAGACAGGCGGGGCAGAAGAGGGGAGGCACAAGGCACGCGACGCTGGGTTGGCAGCATTTCACGCAGCAGCAGCGGCCGCAGCATCCTGAACGGCTTCGGTCATCAAGCTGGCGACCTGCAGGGTGATTTTCCATCCGTCGAACTGAGACTGGATCGTCTCCAGCTCGTACTGGCCTAGCGGCGCGTCACACGCCCTGACCGGCTCCCGGCGGTCGCGCACGGACGCGATGCTGAATGCGCCGTTGTTGTCGCTCCCATTTGTTGCTCACGGTTCGCGCCGAACTTAATTACACTGGAGGCCACTCCACAAGAAACCTTACACAAGAAACCCAACCCTGAGACCCTTGGGCGTCCATGGATGTTTGGTGTGGGAACGTCGCGAATTCCACAGCAAAACCATCGAAACCCAAGAAACAAAGGGCACCCTGGAGGCAAGCAGGGTGTTTCTTGGCACGGGCCTCCACTGTACAGAGGTCCGCGTTTCTACCGTTCCAGAGATGATTGCGAACGCAAGTTCGAAAGCTGATTGGCACATCGCTGCGGGCGGCGCCGCTCGAAGAGCCAGCCGCGTGGCTCGCTTTGGGCAGAGGTGGACCAGCCGAGCCCGCGTCTGGCGATGGGCGAGACAGGTCAGCAATCTTCCAAAACCGAACCTTACGTTCTTGCAACTCCTCCGCGATAGCAGATGGCTATGATCCTGATGTTGATTCGCTGTCCCAAGCAAGCTCTTGAAGCGTCTGCTCTTTCCAACGCTCCTGTTCCAAATTGGACAAGCAAACGCCAAGGCAGGCCTCTACAACAAATTCTGGGCACCGACTGTTTCCGCAACTGAGCTGAATTGAAATCTCTGGATCGGTGATCTCCTCGTCAAACATATCCGCGGCGACGAACTGGGCCTCGCCATCCAACACGTCGGTACGCATCCCTCGCATCTCCCGTGTAAGAACTTCCAAGAGAGAGACCAGCTCCGCGTTGGCAGTAGCAGACGCCACTGGAACAGAGAAGAGCGGATGCACGAGAAGAGCGGATGCACGACCGAGAAGCAGCCTCACAGTAGCAAAGTGCTGGCCGCTCCCCCGCGGCGTCGAAAGCCGAGGTCAAGATGGGATTCTGGCAGACCTCCTGTCGACTGAAGAGCTCGGGCCAGCCTCTCGGGCTGCCACCAAGCTCGAAGCGCCTGGCGCAGTTCGAGCTTGAGCCAACACCGCTACGGATGCAGGCGAGAGGATGAGCGAGTGGAGGAGTGAAAGGAGGGAGAAAAAGTAAGGGGGTGGATGAGGAGAAGGGAGGAAGGAGGATAGCAAGAAGGGGATGAGGGATGGGCAGGACGAGAGGGGAAGCTGAGGAACAAGTGGGAGGATGGGAGGACGAGCAAGAGAAAGCCGGTATATAATGGGGAGCGCATACAACGACTGACGGACAGTGGACGAGGAGGCGGCCGGGCGAGAGGAGCTTCGGGAAGAAGGGGGGCGCAGGAGGGGTGAAGGAAGTGGGAGGGAGGGTGGATGATGGAGTAGGAGAGGAGCACAGCCTGGGACCTCTGGTCCCTCCATCAAATCTAGCTCAACTATCTAGCACCTTCGAGCGCCCGCATGTCCCGGCCTTCAGCCTATCGATCTCCATCATGGCGTCGAGCTGCTTCTCCTCGTCCTCCTTCTCCTGCTGAATCTGCCTGGCGAAAGACACGCAATGCACAACCTGTCTGGTCCGCGTCCAAGTGGCCATCCGCAATCACTGCACCAGCATGCATCGCAAACTGTTCCCCCCGTCCGTCTTGACTATGTGCTGAGTGCGATTGACAGGTGACACAATCGGTGGCTCGACACACATGCTGGAATGACGCTACGGTGCATCACTGAGCGCATGAAGGGAACGGAACCAGAAGTGCATGCAGCACCGTCCTATACTGGCTAAAAGGCACGGTACCCAGTCGGGTGACAAGAACGCCCCCAGGAGGGGAAGCGGGAGAAGGGGGAGAGAACGGAGGAGCGGGAGATAAAGGAGAAGTGCAGAAGGAGGAAAGTAGGAGGAGGTTGGGGAGGTAAAAAAGGAAGTAAGGGGGAAACAATACCAGCACTCTGAGCGCAGGTGGATTCCAACCCCCTTCCTCCCATTCAGGGGTGGGATTATTACCACTCCCTCTCTGATCTGGGTGTGGACGGAGGGGGGCGTTAGCGGTCAGAACATCCAATGTGGCCGACGATGATTCGCAGAGGCCAGAATCTCATACCACACCAAGGTCCACCAGCCCTCTGGGCGTAGATGGTCTAGGGAGCTTTCTCTGCCAAACCCCTCCCCCTCACCCCTTCCCTTCGGAGACGCTTGTCTGGGGCCGTCGTCGACGCCGTCGGCCACTGCCGTCGCCGCCAGCCGCCGCCGTCGGTGCAGCCGGTCGGCGTCGGCGTCTCGTCGGCGCGGCCAACGTCGAGACGTGTAAGGGTCATCTTCCCCCCCTTCGGGGATGGGTGCACCCCTCCCTCTCCCCCCCCTTGGAGGGTTCCCGCAGGGCTGGGGCGTCCAAGAGGGCCCACGATGGCTCCAAGAGGGCCTCAGAGATCGCAGGAATGCCCTCCAAGATGGCTCCAGATAGCGCAAGATCGCTCAAGATGGCTTCCAACATGCTCCAAGAGGCCCCAAGACCGCCTCAAGAGACCAAATGAACATCAATGTTTTGGCCGTTCTCGCCACCTGGCTGCCGATGGCCGTCCGAGGCCTCAAGATGGCTCCAAGATGGCCCAAGAGGGCCCGAAGAGGGGCCCAAGACAGCCCAAAAACGGCCCCAAGAGCATCCAAGAGAGCTCCAAGAGCGCCCCAAGAGGCGATTTCAGGCACTCTGGAAGGGCAAGGCTAATTGAAACTCCCCTCTTCGTGTATCGATGTCTTCCAAGATGGCTCCAAGAGCGCCCCTGAAGCTCCCAAGAGCGCCTCAAGAAGGCCCCAAAAGGCGCCTAGACGGCTCCAAGAGGCGCCCAAAAGGCCTCCAAGAGGTTCCCAAGAGGCACCCAAGAGGACTCAAGAGGATCTCCGAGGCACCCAAGACGCTCAAAGGCGGCCATGGGCCCGCCAAGATGCCCCACCACACGCCCTAAGAGGCCCCAAAAAAAAATCCAAGCGACATCCGAGTAGACGCCGAGAGGCATTCAAGAGGCTTCTGGCTCTTTCGTTCGCCCTGTTCCTCCTCCTCCTCCTCCTCCTCCTCCTCCTCCTCCTTCTCCTCATCCTCCTCCACCTCCTCCTCCTCCTCCTCCTCCTCCTCCTCCTCCTCCCCCATCCTCCTCCTCCTCCTCCTTCTACTCCTCATCCTCCTTGTCCGCTTACTAATCCTCCTCCGACCTGCCTCTTCCCCCTCCCCCGCCTCAACCTCATCCTCGTCTTTTCCCACGGTATCCTCATCCTTCCTCCTCCTCGCCCTCCTGTTCCTCCTGCTCCTTCTCTTCCTCTTCATCCTCTTCCTCCTACTCCTTCTTCTCCTCCTCCTCCTATTTTCATCCTTCGTATGCTCAGTCTGCTCCAGTCGGAGAGAGGTAAGACTCGGGTTCGGTGGACTGGGGTTGGGCAGACGGCGCCGTCAGGAAAGTGACCAGACGCAATCTGAAATCTGATCCGCTGCAAACATCCCACGAAAACTAAACCGTCAGAGTTCAAGACAGGCTCGTCAAAAAGGGTTTCCCCGATCCTGCTCAGGGCACTTCTCTCGTCTTCCGTCTTATTCAAATGACCCCCTCCTACCCCTGCTCCCACCCATCACCACCACACTACTCCCTTGGGTGATAGAGAGAGGGAGTGCAAAGGGAGAAGGAAGGAGGAAGCAGAAGGAGGGAAGAAGAGACGGGGGAAGATGAGGAGCAGCAAGAGGAGAAGCACCACCGCAGCTCAACTTTTCTCCAAGGAGCCTTCGCGCCTAGGGTAATAGAACATGACTTCCGATGCCAAGATGTTTCACAAAGGCCACGGGCCCTCAGAAGGGGCAATAGATGTGTGTATGCCCGTGTCCGAGAGAACATATCCATATCCGCTGCCTCCCGAAGTCCTGAGGGCGGGAAGGCATCCACATCCAACGCTACCCGAAAGGCACGGCTCCGCGTCGATGGACAAGGGGGGGGGCGGGGAAAAAATGCCGATACCCTTGCGTCCTGGACCTCCCCCCCCCGGGGCGCGCGCTGACCAGGACTTCGGGGCGGGCGGCTATTGCCCATCCCACAGGCCAGAGGAGGCGTCCCCCTTCCAAGACCCCAGACGTCATGATTTGCTCATCATAAGACAGGGCTAGGATCGGAATACATCGCTCCAGAGCGTTCCGGAGCGCTCTCAGAGCGTTCCGGAACGCTCTGGAGCGGCCGCGGCGCCCATTACATCCTCCAAACCCGCCGATTCTCAGAGATTTCGAGTTATCCCGATCCGATTTTGTCCCGATATTCGCGTCGTTTTACATCACGTCGACCCCCGAGGTCTCGACCCATTCCCCGGAACCGGCTCTCGTCCTGAGTCGTCTTGTTGACAACCCCGAGGGCCGGAAAGGGCCTCCCAGAAGCCGAACATCCGCCGACCCTGTGTCGGCGTGTGTGAGGGGCTTATCTTGAGTCGGGCCTGTCCCCCTACAGGGGGATTTCCGACGAAAAATAAAAAATACCCCAAAAATAATCAAAACATAATCCAAAAATAGACCGGGGACTATTTTTGGAGCATGTTTTGGCTTTCCTGGGGTATTTGGGGGGATTTTTTTGATTTTTCGTCAAGAATCCCCCTGTAGGGGGACACGCCCGACAGAAGGCTTGTCCGTTCCCGTCGTTCGTTCGTCGTCGTCTCCGTCGTCTCCTGCACCTGCGCCCACCCTTTCCCTGGCCCAGTCGTGTCCTGTCCATGCGCTCCCCCTTTCCCTGGGCCCGTCTCCCCTCCTCCTCTTTCCCCCTCCTCGCCATCGCTCGGACGTCCATTCCTCGTGTATTTGTCGATTTCGTACGTGTTTTGTTTCGCCAAATGATCAAGGATGCTCCTCGATGGCCGTCGCCGAGAAAAAAATGCACACGTCCGAGCGATGCCAAGCCTCTTCCCTGGGCCCGCCGCCGCTCCCCCCCTCCGCTTTTCCAGGGCCCCCCCCTCAAGAGCAGCGCTGTCATTGAGCCGAAAGGAAGCCCCTTCCCTTTGATCCCTCCCCTGCCGGGGGGGGTCCCGCGTCACATGCGACTCCTTAGTGTACGAAACCAGATCACATGCTTACGCACGAAACTGTCGCGCGTAACCAGAACGGGAAAAATATGGTCACGATCGACCCCTCACACACTTGAGCTATCAAAATGCATCGAACACGTCCGTTACCAAAATCTTCCCGGGAAGATCTCTGCGTAACCAAACCGTAGCCAGATTTACAATTTTCGTAACCAAATCATAACCATAAAACGTAAATCGTGACCAAATCGTAACCAAATCGAACCGAGCATCTTCGACATTCCAGATTGGGCTCAAGAAGGGGGCGGTGGAGCAAGGCGGCGAAAGTGACTTCGAAAATGCGTACGCGGAGAAGTCAAGAACGAAGAAGGGAGCGGGAGCAGAAGCAGGACCTGGGGCAAACCAGGCGTCGTGGGAGACGACGAGGAAAAGCGAGCGACTAGGAGGGAAGACTGATGAGGAGAAGACAGAACGTTTTCAGGAAAAGCAGGACGAGGAGGAGGAAAATGACTCGGAGAGGGAAAAGGAACAAAGCACACGCAAACACGAGGAGGATTGAGAAGGGAGGCATGAGGAAGAGGAGAAGGAGGAGAGGGAGGAGAGAAGCAGTGGGAAAAGGAGGGGGAGAGGGAGGAGGAAAAAGAGGAATAGGAGGAGGCATGGGCGGAAGCACGGCGAGAACACGAGGGCCGAGTAATAGTATTGACACGTTGATGATTTGACGCCAGGGTTCAAGGTTAGAGCCAGGAGGGTTGGAAGGAGGCTTTCAAGGAGGCCCAACTGGACAAGGACAAGGATGAGGCTTGCAGGAAGTATTATAGGAGTGAGAGAGTCAGAGAAGGCTTGGAGGGAAGAAGGAGCTTGAAGAGGGAGACTTTGAACTAGGAGGAGGTGCGGGCAGAAATGATCGGATTTCTAACCGCTTCGCGTAACCCCACCAGCCCGGGATTTCCACGCCACCAGGTTGGGAGTGCCGCTCCTGGTGTTCCTTCTGAGAGGCTGCCCGCGCGCTCGCTTCGCTTGCCCCTCTCTTTTCTTGCTGCCTAGTCGCGGCCTGGCTAGTGATCGGACGGTTTTCGACTTGCTTCGCGAGCCCGCAGACCAAAAAGTAACCCCACCAGCGCATACAGAAAAGATGCCCAAAGGAGTAGCCTCGAGCAGGGAAGTGGGCAGCACACAGAGGAAGGGTACCCCAGTGGAGGCCTCTTGGATCATCTTGGGGGCAGTTTGGAGGGCCCAGGGTCGTATCTGAGCGTCTTGGGCGCCTCGGGAATATTCTTGAAGTTTCTTGGGGGTCGCTTGGTCGCCTGTTGGAGGTGCCTTGGGCGGCTCTTGGGGCCGTCTGGGCGCCTTTGGGGGCCCTCTTGGAGCTTGGAAGTTTAAGGGGCGCTCGTGGGCCATCTTGGAGGACATCGATCTTGATATGCGAGGAAGTTCAGATCAAGTGCAGATCGTCCTCGTCACTCCTCCTCCTCCTCCTCCTCCTCCTCCTCCACCTCCTCATCCTCCTCCTCCTCCTCCTCCTCTTCCTCCTCCGCCTCTTCCTGCTTTGCCTTGTC